GGCCGTGGGGCTGCAGCAGCAGTGGGCAGGAGCGAGGGCAGGGGAAGCTCTGCCTCAGCCTCCTCGGCAGCCCCGGCTGTGCCTCGCGGTGCCAGGGTCGATGCCCGTCGCCCCGGGTGGCAGCTGGTGGGTGGTTTCTGGGCACAGCTCTGCAGAGCGGGTGGCACCGAGTCCCCGGGGAGCAGGGGGGTGTGGGGCAGAGGGGCTGCCCATTTGCAGGGCTAATGCTTTTCCTTTCCCTTCCTTTCCCCCTGCAGCCCCACGACATCAGAGCGCAGGTGAGTGCTGCTCACACACGGGTGCCCGGGCACCTCCCTGCCCCACAGTGCTGCCACCCAGCCCCCAGCCCTGTCACTGTCACCCCATGTGCCCAGTGACACCTCTCTTGCCACCCCAGGAGGGCAGCAGTCCTTGGTGCCCTGAAGTGTGACTGGCTGGGCAAGGAGCAGTGGAGTGAGCCGGGCTCTGGTTAAATACCTTCAGTTTTCAGCTCCCTAAGGCAGCTACAGGGAGACAAAAGTTGAGGTTTAATTAAATGCACTCCCCCTCTTTCCTAGAGATGCTTTAACCTGGGTTATCAGCGGCCCCAGGCCTGGGGTCAGGGATGTGGCAGCATGGCTGCTGGGGACAAGGGGGAGGCAGGGGCACGGCTGGCCCTGGGCAGCCCACACGCAGGTGTAGGGGGGTGTTACCAGAGCCTCTTCTGACAGGACAAGGGGATGGTTTTAAACTAAAAGAGGGCGATTTAGACTAGAGAGAAGGAAAAAATTTTTGAGGCTGAGGGTGGTGAGACGCTGGCCCAGGTTGCCCAGAGAGGTGTTCGCTGCCCCATCTCTGCAAACTTTCTAGGCGAGGTTGGCATGAGCTCTGAACACCCTGCTCTAGTTGCAGATGTCCCTGCTCAGGGCAGCAGGGTTGGGCTAGATGAGCTTGAAAGGTCCCTTCCCACTCAAAATATTCATGATTCTATGCCAGGCATCCATGAGACTCCTCTCAGCAGTGCTTATCCCAAATCCACTGGGCAGGTAGTTTTAGCAGAGCAGAGATGATGTGCTGGGAGAGTGTGTGTGGGTCCGAGGAAGGATCCCATCCTATGGGCGAGATCCCACCCCACACCAGAGACAGGACAGGCTCGTTTGGCTCCCCTCCCGTTCCCCCTCGTGACCTGCTGGGCTTCCAGTCACAGATCTCAATCAATGTGGAGGACTGCGAGGACACGAAGGACGTCAAGGAGCACTGGGGCATCAAAACCAGCCACCACAGGAACTCCTGCTCCAGCGACCAGTCCGAGCACCCGCTGCTGCGGCGCAAGAGCATGCAGTGGGCACGGCGGCCCAGCAGGAAGGGCAACAAGCACTCCAGCAAGAATGCAGAGCTCAGCCTCTACCGGCGCTCCGAGAGGCAGGAGCTCTCCGAGCTGGTCAAGAACCGCATGAAGCACCTGGGCTTGCCCACCACCGGGTACGGTAAGTGCCGCTCGGCTGCGCTTCCCTGCAGCGGGCTCCTCAGGTAACCTGTGCCGAGCCTCACCCCAAGCTGAACCTAACCCCAAGCCGAACCTAACCCCAAGCCAAACCTAACCCCAAGCTGAACCTAAACCCAAACCGAGCCTAACCCCCTGCCAAGCCTAACCCTGCACCAAGCCTAACCTCATGCCGAGCCTAACCCCGCACCGAGCCTACCCCTGCACCAAGCCCGATGCCGCTGCCGGGCCCGGCTCTGAGCAATGCCTCATTCCCCAGCTTGCTTGAGCTTCTGCCGACGAGCGTGCCCAAGGCTGGGGTCCCCCCCTGACTGCAGGCAGACACCCCAGTTTCGGGGCTCTGCGATGGGTCCAGGCAGGGCTTTGCAGCAGCCCTTCTGCCTGCAGTGGGGCCGAGCGCTGCCGTGCAGCCTTGGGGTGCCGTGTCCCACCTGCCCCCCGCTTTCTGGCCGTGCAGAAATGGTGGTTCAGGACACGCTGGCTCTGAGTCAGCAAAACCCTTCTGCCCATGAGCCCCTCGAGTACGGCAGGGAGAGGTGAAGCCCCATCAGACACAGACCCCTTTTCCTACAGACTTTAATCCTTCCTAAATCCGTGGAAAACATTTCGGTAGCTGCAGGGCTGAGTGGTTTGCTTCATTGCGTGTGAAACTGGTGTCTCTGGCTGTGACGAGCCCACACGGCCCCGGGGTGTCCACAGGTCCATCCGTGCAGCTGCATTTCTCGTGTAGCTTCTCACCCACCCGTCGGTGCTGGTGTCTGTGTCGCCCCCGGATGATTCCCCACCCCTTGGTGATGACACAGTCTGTAGCCCACAGCTTCCTTGCTTTGTTTGTTTGGTTTTTTTTTTTCCCTCTTTCTTTCTTTTTTTTAAGCCATGCTGTGCTGCTGCCTGTTTGCTCCATCCTCGACGAGCGTCCGTCTGCCCCACGCCAGACCCTGCCCGCACGCAGGCTGGCACCGTAGAGTCACAGAATGGTTTGGGGTTGGAAGAGACCTTTCAAGGCCATCTAATCCTCCTGCAGAGAGCAGGGACATCTGCAACTAGAGCAGGTTGCTCAGAGTCCCATCCCAATCCCTGCCCCAGCCATGATGGAGCTGGTTTCGGGAGGTGGCAAGGGGGAATTCCTCCTCTCCCATCTTGGCTTCTCCCTTGTAGCCCTTCAGGCACGTTAAAGAAGAGGAGAAAATGTAAAGAAGTGCAGTGGAGGAGAGAGTTTGGAGTGGAGGGCAAACGGGCTGGCTGTGGGCATTGCCCACCCTCCCCGGGGCTTGCAGCAGGACAGAGGAGGCTCAGGGCACACCAGGAGAGGGTTTGCAGCCATGCATCCTCCCCCTGCTCCTCTTTTTGACTTCCAGCTCCCTGCAGCTCTGTGGCAGAGCCTGGAGCACGGCTGGTGCCATTCAGCACCTTAAAAAGCTGTTGTGCACAGCTGCTGGGTGGGAGAAGCTGGGACCAGGGTGCTCCCAAAGCAGAGCACCCAAGCTGGGCACTGCTGCAGGGTGTGCTCACCGTGCCAGGGTGACCCTGCAAACACGGGCAGGGCTTGAGGCAGAGGCACCTTCCCTGCCCCTGTGGCCTCAGATGAGGGTCCCCAGGGGCTGGCCTGCAACCAGCCCCACCCAGATGCTCGGGGCACCGTCGGCTGGGTTAGCATCAGGGTCTGCATCCTTCTCCTGGCCCATCTGGCAAATTTTGGCTGGAGCAAACCAAGGGGGAGCTCCAGCAAGTGACGAGGCAGCAGGGGGTGCAGGAGCCGAATCCTGGCAGGCTGGGAGGGCAACGCCTGGCTGGGACTGGGGCAGGGGACCAGCAGCTCCCTCTGTGCTGGGACATGTTGTCACCATGTCACCGTCAGTGTCTGGACACCCATGGCGTTTTGGAGGAACATGTGGCTCTGCCTTCTCCCCCTTTCCTTTTTCTTTTGCTCATTTTATTGCTGCAGTGCAGGAGCTCGTCTCTGATATTTGCCAAATCATGGCTTGCTGACCTCTCTCTCTCTCTCTGTTTATGTCTGTGCCTTTCCCTGTATGTTCTGTAGAGGATGTAGCAAATTTAACAGCCAGTGATGTGATGAATCGGGTAAACCTGGGATATTTGCAAGGTAATTCCCTTTCCCTGGGGTGACTCATGGCGTGCAGCGTACAACAAGATCATGCCAGCTAAGCCCAAACCACACCCTTGCCGGTTTTCACCTTAGATTCCTGAGCCTTTCAAGCACTAATTTGTTGGGTGGCGTTGAAAACCAAAAGGCTGTCCTGTGATGGCAGTGCCAACGCAGGGCTCTGCAGAGCCACGGAGATAAAAACCTCAGGGATCCTTTTCTAGTTGAATTCTTACAGGGAAATCACAGCCCTCAGCTGTCATTGAAAGGAACCCTCCCACCATTGCTCTGCAAGTCGGTTTTGGTTTGTAAAGCCAGTCAAAGGCAGTGTGAGGAGGGGATCTGTGGGGGCTGAGCACAGTGGAGCTGCTGGTGTGAGCTGTGGTGAGATGCTGGAGCTCCTGCACCGGCCCCTTCGCCTCTTGGCCACTCAGGGGTGAGCCCGAGCTCAGGGGCCAGGCAGCACCTGGAGAGCCCTTCCCAAGCCTCACTTTGTGTTCCTGGACAGCATTAGCAGACCCTGTTTTCTAACGGGGTGAGGATGCTGGGCTCGGATGCCCCAGGCCACCTTATTGGCATCTGCATGAGCTGCAGGGTTATTGCATCGTTTACACCCTCACGCAGTGGGGTAAAGGCCCCTTTTTACTGCAGCAGCCTAGAGGTTAGCAGCAGCCTGACCTCGCTGGGCTTTGGGCTTCTCTAGCCCATGCTTAAGGTGAAAAGTTGGCATTTTCCTACAAACTGTGTCCTTCATCAGAGAGGCAGCCCCAGCCGGGGCTCATGGAAGCCCCACGCCAACAGAGTATATTGCCAGCTGGCTGGGGGCTGCAGGGCAGAGCTCAGCCCCCCCTG